TCTGCATTTCGTTCTCATCAGCTAATAAATAAGATTATTATGTACTATTGAGGCATAGGAGCTAAAAGGTGTTACCACATTAGTTGTTACTGTCAACTAGAAGAGTCGTTCTCAACCTTGGCCACACATCATCAGGGAAGGCGGGAGATCCCAAACTCATTACACAATTTACATGAATAAAATCAGTCTCTTAGGGCCAGGGTATTTTCAAAGTTTCCCCAGGATATTCCAATGTGACTCCAAGGATCACTGATCTGGAGTAAATATTTATTGATAATAAAGAAACATCTGTGCAGTATAAATCATTATAAAGCATACAACAAAATGTTTGTGCCTAGTCAATGTGAGGTTGACATAGAAGATAAAGATTAAAATGGAAATTGGAGGTTAAAATTAAAGCAATAGGTCAAATAATTCAAATTAAAATATTATTTTATTTGAAATAGTTATCTGTGTACTTGTCCTTATATATCCAATCTAGTATGAAAAATTATCTTAATGGATTATAATTTGTATGTGGGGAACCATGAGACTGAGAGCATTATGGATTTCCTTTCCTTCATATTTTAATTCACCTTGCACATACAAACACTGACCTCATACAATTGAAGTGATTAAAACTAATATATAATAGGAATTATTAAAATTTTGTGGTTATGTTACTAATTTGACCCAGTTACATGTCCAAAGTAAAAACATTCATTCTTTAGTCTATAAAATAATAGGCATCTAATATTAAGATAAAGTTTGGGGTGGTTCCTTATAAAAATAAAATACAGATCATAAAATAGTGATCATGTATAAAACAAAGATATGAAAAACAAAAATCTGGATTATAAAATGGTTATGATAGTGGTTTTGACCTTATAAATGGCCTTAATAATGGTTAAAATGACTATTTGCATGGTTTGACTCTTCGACTTTGCAGAGAGGCAATTCAACTATAAAGATATAATTTGAAAATAATAAAAACTGGTAGAATATAAAAATGATCTACTTGCATATGTATTCCACATTCCTGGAGAGTGTCACACTATGTAGAATAGCACTTAATTAACAGCAAAATAATATTTTATATTCAATATTTAAATGGGAAGAATTGTTAGATATTTGATTTTATTTTAAATATATTTTTTTCAAGAATATAGAGTGCATGACACCAAAATGAAATAAGACTTAAGAAATGTTCAAATTGCACTTTATGCAACCCAAATTCTATGTTCTCAAACTGGTTAATGTTTGAGTGGTTTCTATAAACAATACAGAAAGCCTCAGGTATCACAATTATTATACATGCTTAACATTAGCAGAGCATCCTTTGGGCCAGTATCTGTTAAATAAGAATAAGCAATAGAATCTGCTTTAACATGAGATTATAAAAATAAAAATGTGGAAATACATACATTCTTGAGAGTATAACGATTAGTATTTATTCTGAGAGAACTAAAATACAGATGATGCAATATTTATGTTAGAATCTAATCTCAAATTTGCTTTCATGTGATTATCTGGCTTAATTTAAGGTATAGTAAGTACATAAAGCTATCAATAACAAAAGTTTACCAGTAATGAAGAAATTTATATTCCTTAAATATTTCAATTTTATAATATATATTTTCAAGTATGCTTAGGAGCTAAAGAAGGACATATTGAAGAGAAAGTCCTTATTTACGTAAAAATAAATCAAGCATGTTAATAATATACCTATGTAATTTTGTAGTTTCAAATATTGCATTTTTAAATATTACCAATCAACTGGAAGATTATTACAGATTTGTTACATTTATTATATATTTAAAAATATTATTTTGAAAAACATTGAAAACTACAGAGAATTACTGTCATTGCTTTTGATACTTGATTTATGTAATATAGCAGCTTGAATGTTCTTTATATGTCTATAAATTACTTCCCAGATAAATGTGTATATATACTTTTAAAAAATTAAGCCAGTTATTTCTCAGAATATTAAAAAATATTATTGGGTGCAAATTATTTCTATTATGTGTCACAATACAAACGTTTACTAAAATAAATCCAAACTATATTTGATCTCCAATTACTTTGGATTCAAGGCACTATGACTGTACTAGATCAATATTAAAGTTTGGTTTTTCTCAGCATAGTAAGTCCAAAAGCCATTCAAATCAAGTTAAATAAAATTTAATTTAATCAATTATACACACACACACACACACACACACACACACACACACATATAATGTGGCTTTTTTTCAATGTAGGAGAATATAAAACTAAAAGGTAATAATGTGTCCTAACTTTTAAAAATTAGAAATTAATGCATTAATCATTTAATTATATATGAACATAATGAAGTTATTACTTTTCTCCTAAAATATAAATTTTAATAATTTGTATATGTAATAGGACTAAATATATTTTATCTATATTTTTACAAATATATTTATAAACTATTAAATTGCATTTTTTGTGTGAATATATTACCAATTCAAGAAATAGCATGTATTTTCTTTTAACATAGCCTAAGACTTTATGGCTAGCTTAAAGTATGAAAAACTTTGCATAGAATGTATATCTTGAAGAAAGTCTCTGACTATTATTGCAGTGTCATAATTATAGGCGGGTTTGAAATAAGTAAAAGTGTTTAGAAAGAAACGCAAACACGTTCTTCAAAGACTACAAGTAGCATTTTAAACCATGCACTATTGTGTGGCTTTTGCAGAATCATAAAGAAACTTTGTATTAAATTAAGAAACTACCCAATTGATTTGTAAGTTATCCACTGGGAACAATTGCACTTTAAATTTGAAACTCTAATTACTAAAAACAGTTATTATTTTTTTAAAAAATGTTTCAAATTGACAAACAAACAAAAATCACGCAACCAGAAAAATAGCTACAAGACATCACAGGTAATAAATTTTGTTCCATGGTGATGAGAAACTCAAATGGCTATGCTTACTTTTCAATGTGAAGAAGAAATGTTAAAATTTTTATAATGTGTGTTTGTGTATACAGTTAACAACTACCACTTTATATAAAAACACAATCCAGAAGTAATTCATAAAATTACAAATTAGTTTCCCCTACATTATACCTTACAATTATGATAACAGATATAAAGTTAAGAATTATTTTAGGTCAAAGGAGAAATAAACTTATATTTAAAATTCGAATATTTGAACAAAGGTATATTTGGCATGCTTATTTAAAAATGTGCTACAATTTATTGACGATGCAGACTATTACTTAAATACTGAACCTATGCAAGTTGGAATTAATAAAAATTTCTATGAGAATTACATTCAGAAAAGCAAGCAAATTCATATCATTACAAGGTACCACTTTTAAACATAAATAATATAGTGAAATGCTTGTAACCTTTTTAGGAGCAGCAAAATTAGCAGATACACCACATTCCTTAGTTTTAGGATTCCGATGTAATATATCTGGTTACAATAAATAACTATGCAATAAGGTATTAATTTCCACCATTAAGAGTAAATTTAATCCCCAGGCATTAGTTATAATGGTATGGTTAAGAAAACTATGTTGGAAAGTTTAAAATCCAGTTATCTTATGAAGTAGCATTCTAAATTAATGTTGTAAACACAGTATTACTCTTTTCAAAGAAGATATGTTTCTAGTCTTAAAGAATGTTGAAAAGCAGGTTTAGTTTGAGTTTAGCTTAATTTTCAAAAGCACAACTAATCAACCCAAAGTAAAATAAAGCCCTTGAACTATGTTCATTTTAAATAGGTATCCCTTAGACAAGTTCTATTGTCAAAACATCACAATGTCCTTTTTATCCATACTGCCCTTGATTACACTTTCCCAGTACAAAACAAGTGAAGCAAAAGAGGGACAGTTTTTCTGTTCCTGTGTGGTGTTGGGGGAGTAGTGAAGAGAAAAGAGAGAATGTAGTATATTATTCCTTTTTAAAAGCAATACCATTTTATTGTGCTGTTTAAGAAATTACCCTTGGAACAAAATATTACGACTTACTGAGATTTTGTCATCATTTCTTTCCTACTAAAATGTCATTCATTGCAGTATCTTCATCTTCAAGAGCTCTTGGACAAATCTCGTTTCAGCACCATGGACAGTGACACTTCTACTAGGACATGCGCCCAGTGTTGCACTGGCCATTTCTTATGAAACTTGCATAAGCTTTTTGTCAATCAGCAAGGGTTACATCCATTATTATATTAAACAGAAAAAGACTGGACATGATGCACAGTATTAAAGAGTTCAGTAATTTTCATCCATAGCATCATGCATTTACCATTTAGTATTTCCGGAGAACACGCTGAAAATTCAAGCTAATTATATAAGATGTCTGATAAACATTGATCACCAGACAATTAAAATTTTCCCTTCATATTGAGTTTGAGATCAATAATTATTCAAATGTCTAAGAGAAAACAGAAACTATGAGTAACTATGCTTAGGTAGGCCTCCAGACTTTCTAAACAGCCAGAACTATACTTGTAAAACAGGTAAAATGTGTTTTTGTTCTCCCTGCATAAACAACTACAAATACTTCTCTTTTCCCTGTAGTCAACCAACTTAATGATGTCACTATCTGAGAATTCATGTGTGCAGGTCCATAAGTCAAACCACACATGCCTGTCTCTGACTCTTCTGATTTTAGCTGGGATCATCATCACTATGCAATCCAATCACTGTCTTCCTAACAAGCCGCATTCAAATTCCATTTTTTTTAAAAAAACGGTAACAGAGTTTGAACCAATTAAATATCTGTAAGAGGTAATTTAAGCCCTAGCTTCATGAGCCCGGAAGACCAGGATTCCCAGAAGAAGGCACCAGTCCACCAGTAATCCACGAGGTATCCCCAACTCAAGCACCAAGTCAAGCCCTTATAACAACAATAAGGCCAATTAGAGTAACAAAACCAGATCCACAAAACAATTTGAAAACTCTAAAAGACACCCCAACCAAACAAAACAGATAGAAAAGCTCAAGAAAGGGGGGTGGCGGGGAACCCCTGTTCCTACCTTACAATCCTCAGGACAGGATTTCACCGAGTACTCCTGCGATTGTAAATATTTATGGAGCACACTTTCAAACTCTTCGTATTTCTCCTGAGCGTGGTGATCATAGTCTTGGTAAGCCTCGACGCATTGCCTGCAAGTGGTCATCTCGCCGCCCTCCTTGAGCACCACATCCAGACTGCAGTTCAAAGTGTTGGGACTTGACAACCCCGAGAACAACTCCCAAAGTGTGTAGGAATTACAAAACGAAAGGTAAAAATCCGACAAGTTCCAGAGTGGAGTTGGATGCGTCCCCCTCACCTGCTGTTCCTCCCCCCTGACTGCCACCCCCCGACTCCAGTTCCTGGCGCACACCGCGTCCGCACTCTCCACTGTAAAACACTGGCCCGAGGAGGCGCCCTGGGGGTAACAAGTCTCCAGGCGCCAAACTGGTTTGGCAGAGTTTCCTAGAAAAAGAGCCTTGCTCAGGTTGTTTTTGCCTCCGTTGCCCTTGCCACCGCCGCCGTCTCCTGGGGAGGGGGGCAGGGTGGGGGATGAGGAGGCGGAGAGGAGTCTGTGTGCCTGGGCGGCGGGCGAGGACTCCCCCATGCTCGTCAGGAGCGCGGGCCAGGAGGGCTCCTGCTGCCGCTGTCGCTGCTGTTGCTGCTGCTGCTGCCGCTGCCGCTGCTGCTGATGCCGCTGCTGCTGCTGTTGTTGCTGCTGCTGCTGCTGCTGCTCCTTGTCCCGAGTCCGGGTCAGTTTGGCTTCGGCGCAGAACCACAAGTGATCAGAGAGCAGGACTGTGAAAAACAAGAGAGATGCCAGAGACAGTCGCCATTTCTGAGCCCTCTCTGAATCGATGAACGGTTTCTCGTTCTCCCGGGGTGCTGCCAACCAGATTTTTAAGCCGTCGTCATACTGCCGACACATCCAAGCACCCCTGGTCATATTTTGGGAACGCACAGCCCGGGCCGACTCCACCGTGAGGGCTCCTGTGCCGGTGTCACCACAATATGCATTGACTTAAAGGGTTTAATTTCCTTATCCCCTCCTCCCGTTTCTTCTCTCTCTCTCTCTCTCTCTCTCTCTCTCTCTCTCTCTCTCTCTCTCCTCTCCCTCTTTTTCTTTCTCTTTCTTTTTGCCTACATAAATATCACCAGGCTTTGAAAAAAAATCTGACTTGCTTCCGACCTAATCATCAGCCGACCCCATCCTCTGTAGAGTAGGAAACAATAGTGAGAGAGAGAGAGAGAGAGAAAGAGAGAGAGAGAGAGAGAGAGAGAGAGAGAGAGAGAGAGAGTATCAGAGTCGGTGGCTGGTGGCCGGTGGTGAGCTGAGTGCAGGAGGTGATGGTGGAGGTGGCTGGTGGCTGGCGCTGCTCCTCTCACCCAGGCATTGTCAGAGCGCGGGTCCCCATGGCCCTGCTGAGGACAGCCCTCTCTTCCCTGCCAGGGGCATGCCTCGTCTCCGCTGCCCACTGACAGCGACCAGTGCGCCTCCCCAGTTCCTCTCCTCCTCCTTCTCCTCAGCTTCTCCTCCTCTTTCTCCTCCTTCCTTTCCTTCTCCTTTCTGTCCTCCTCCTCCTGCTCCTACTTCTCGCTGTCTCTCCCGGAGTCCGGAGCCTGGGCAGCCGCCGCCGGCAGGGCTCTCCCTCCCCCCCACCCCCCACCCCGCGCTCTAACTGTCGCCGCCGCCGCCGCTGTCGCAGGTCTGCCCGCGGGCGCCTCCGCCGCCGGGCTCCGACTGCTGACGCCGCCTCCCCCGGACCTCGGGGCCAAATCGCCTGGGTTGGGCCTCTCGAGAGCCACAGTCATCTTCAGTCCCCAGCTAAGTTGCCGCCATCTTCGTCCTGGAGAAACACTTTTTTGGGGGGAGCGCTGGCTTTTGCGTCATCTCCTCCCGCGCCGAGATCTCTCCATCCTGGCGCATTGGCACCCGGCTCTGCCCGGGCGGAGGAGGAGGGCGAGGACGCACCGGGGGTTGGGGAGGGGAGTGGTGCGGCCGTGCCCGACCGCCCCGCCTGGGCTTCTGGGCTCCAGCGTTTGCTCCTTGCCTTGCGTCCCCTGTCCTCACCTTTGGCTTTGTCTTTCTGTTAGCACTGACAAAAGTCAGAATGCGGATGCATGAATGAGGATGCTAGCTAATTTCTCAGCATCTCCCACTACTTCTCTGTCTCTGGAAAAACTCCGAGTTGCCAGCGGTCGGTTCCAGGTTTCTAATGGGGAGATGGTCTGGGTGGTGACCTCCTAACTAAGTAATGATCGACTTCAAATGAAAGGTTGAGGCGGGGGACGGGAGGGTAGGGAAGTAAACATGAATGGCTAGAGGAGAGAGGAGGTGACATCTGGTCTCTTTGCATGGACATCGAGATCCCTAAAAAACTGGAGATCAACAACTACCAGTGCGTTAAATTATTTTGTCAAGTGAATGCTTTATATGGAAAGGATGCTGTGTAATCTACAGCTATATATGCCGACGTATTTCATATTCGAAAGTACAAGGAGATTAGAAATGGCCTCATGTAGTCAGGAAAATACAGTAACACCTCGGATAACAGGGGTCACCAACTAGCCTTCTGCTCAGAGTTCAACGTCTTGACCTCGGAGGATCCCTCCCGGGATCTGGAACATCGAAAGCTTCCTTGACCCCAGTCCCCGCTGAGTTAGGCTTTGCTGTCTCCCAAGACTTCCGCAGCAGCGGGCCACCGGGTTGCCTGGGTGGCAGCCGCTGCAGTCCAAGCCTCTGGTGCCCCTTAGCGTTGGTTCTCAAGAGTTCTGAGAAAGCGACAGACGCTCTGGAAAACGGGGTCCCCAAGCTCCAGGCTCGCGCTGATTAATGCTGTGAGCAAACATCAGCCAGGCTTTATCTGAGGACCCTGCCCATTCTGGCTCACTCCCACCGGCGCTGTGAGAGTAAGAGACTGCGCCGGTGCCAAGGGCCTCCTGTGCGCGACCCGCAGCGCAGCCTCGTCCCGAGCTCTCTCTGGGGTGGTCTAGGAGAGCGGTTTGCTCCACCTGCCAACCACTGTGCTCCTTCCCTGCTTTCTAATGACCCTAATATTCTGTCAGATGCACATTTACATAGGCAGTATTAGGGTGCCAATGTTCTAAGTATTTTGAGAAACCAAAGGGATGGATCATCGTATTCATTTTCTGGAGATGCTGTGGGTGCTGGGATACAGAAGAAGTGGACATTTTAAAAATAAGTTGCAAAACATGATGGTCAGGATTCAACCAACTAGTTCTGTCCGCAGCATAATAAGGTGTATCCTAAATTTTACCCATGTAAATTCTAAGTTCCTAAAAATTATATAAAGTGACTATCAAAGCTTGGTGCAGTTGATATCTAATTGATCCGTTAAATGCCATGCAATGTATTAAAAGACCATTTGTGTTAGTATATAATTCTGGCTCTCTGGATTTCAGGGTGCTGAATTTTTTTAACTACCCAAAAGGTCTAGAAATTTACCAATATGCTTTCCATGGCATGTTCACCCTTACCTTAAAGCATTTTTAAATAAGCAAAGATTGAGGTTTTGCTGAAAATACTTTAAAATTTTTTTCCTTATTATTTTAGAGAGAGAGGAAGGGGGGAGAGAGAGAGAGAGAGAGAGAGAGAGAGAGAGAGAGAGAAACATCTGTTGGCTGCCTCCTGCATGGCCCCCACTGGAAATTTGGCCCACTACGTAGGCAAGTGCCCTGACCGGTAATCGAACCAGTGACCTCTTGGTGCATGGGTTGATGCTCAACCACTGAGCCATGCTGGCTGGAAAAAGGAAAAATTCATGAGAACCCTTCTCCGAGGGAGAAAGGTGAGCAAAGTGACCAAATACCAAAGTAAGTGTGTAGCACTCCACCACCACCACGCAGCCTGGCTTCTTTTGCATGCTCTCTGCCTCCAAACCAGGCAACATGGACTTGCAGCTCAAGTTAAACCTGTTCCTATTCACTGGTGACTAATAACACCCCAGTTGACTATAAAAACCTTAAGTTTCTCTTCCATGAAACAAGTGGCAGACGTTATGCTGAAATGAACTATCATATTTGTTCTTAAAATATATATTCTTTCTTCTCCCAAGTCCAATTTTTAATTAGCACCATTCCCCAATCCCATCACTCCATGTTTATATTCTTTCTCACATTCCATATCCACCAGTCTCAAGTTGTGTTCTCTGTTCGGTGCTCTTGCTATTGACGAGTAGACTCATTATAACTCCCATTGGGTAGTTGAAAGCTAAAAACCAACAGAGCTACTGATACCAAGTTATTTACAATTTCTCTAGACAGTGTTTCTCAGCATTGCCCCATTCACCTTTGAGGTCAGATAATTCTTTGTTGTGGGAGGGTCAGCAGCCTCCCTAGCCTCTATTCACAAGACACCAGTAACACAATGCCCTCTCCCCAGTTTTGACAACTAAAAATGTCGCCAAGCATTGCCAAATACCCTCTGGAAGCAAACTTGTTCCCAGGTAATTACCACAATTCTAGAAACATCTCAAGGTAGTTCTAGCATCAGAAATAAAGCTATAACTATTTCTCTAATCCAGGGAGTATATAATCTAAGAAATCTTCACTGAGAATCACCACCTCATTATATATCTCGTTATAGAATATTTTAAAAGACTACAAAATATTTAAACTCCCTTAACCTCTCTGGAAAATACAAAGTCAAAAGGCTAACTGACAATTATCATTTAAATCTGATCAATGTCAGAATTTTTCCCCATAATTCAGACTAAAATAGTATTTATGTGAGAGTGAAACATGGATCAGCTGTCTCCTGCACGCCCCCTACTGGGGATGGAGCCAGAAACCTTTTGGTGCACTGGACAAAGCCCAACCTACTGTGCCACACCAGCCAGGGCTTCTTGTACTTTTTATGTGACCCTTAAACACAATATACCATAAACTAAACTAAATGTGTGCATGTGTTTATATATATATATATATATATATATATATATATATATATACACACACACATACACATACATGTATATATATGTGTGTGTGTGTGTGTATAGCTGGTTATTACACAAGTATTGTAACATACATTGTAGAAATTTTTTTTAAAAAAGCTATTTAAAACGTCATAAATAATCCCAACATGCAGATATAATCACTATTTCCCTTTTGTAGTATCTCTCTAACATTTACTTTATATTATAAATCTCCTTGTTTTGTAATGTTTACTAAGTCAGATATTTTTAAGAATCGATGTAGAAAGTATGATAGCATATACATTCATGTTTATTAGATAATGCAAGTTTCCCTTTGCTATTGCATTATTAATTTTAATCACACACAAATTCTAATGGTGTCTCAGAACATTAGCATCTCTCTCTTTTGTCAAGCATGTGATTAAATCAAAAAGAGGACTAGGAATGGAGAAAATAAAAGAAATGAACAATATATAAAATTAAAGGCCCATTCCTCTCAAACAAGGTAAAGAAACAAAACTAAGCTCTGTTATTTTTATCTTATTATGATTCATATGTAGTCAAATTATGTCTTACAAAATATTTCAGTGATGTTCAGCAAAAGTCTGATATACTGCATTAAAATAAGTGTTTAATCTGATATTTTAATAATTAGGATAATAATGGTCTCTACAATAAACTATAGTTAATTATTTTTTTAAAGTAATCTGGACCTTGCGTTCCTCTCATAGTTCCTATGAATTAGAATGTGTGTGTGTTTTTTATTTTTTAATCCTCACCGGAGGATATTTTTCCATTTATCTTCAGGTAGAGTAGGAGGGAAGGGGAGACAGAGAAACATTGATGTGTCTCACATTGACAGTTTGCCTCCCTCACGACCCAGACCAGGGCCGGGAGGAAATGCAATGGAGGTACTTGGCCTTGACCAGAATGGAACCCACAACTCTTTGGTCTGCAGGCTGACGCTCTAACCTCTGAACCAAACCGGCCAGGGCTGAATAAGAATGTTTTCAAATGAAACAGCTTTGCCCTCGCCTTGGCTTAGCGGTTGGAACACCAGCCTGTGGACCAGAGAGTCCCAGTTCGGTTCCCGCTAAGGGCACGTACCTTGGTTGCAGTTTGTCCCCCGATATGGTTGAGGTCATGTGGGTGGCAACCACTCAATGTGTCTCTCTCACAACAGTGTTTCTCTCTCTCTCTCTCTCTCTCTCTCT